ATGTATAGTCTTATTTTGATGTATATTGCAGTAGGTAGTTTAGAGTGTATAAAATTTTACTTATTATCAGAGACCCTATTTTTATTTAGAAAATAAATCGTTCCATATTTTTTTTTGTTAGTTTTCATTTAAAAATAAATATAGTAATCTAAAAATAAAGAATTTTTTAAAAAAAGGTAAGTATGATAAGTGTTACACTTAGGGTTGCCACCCGTACTTTATAATAAAGTATTGTACGTTATTTTAGGTAATTGTACTCTATACTTTATGAGAACAATAAAGTACACAAAAATACTTTATTTCGCATGATTTGATTTCTTTGGGATTTTGAAAAGTTTAGTCGTAAGTATTTTTTCGTTAAACGAAATTTATTGATGTCGCCACTCGCCAGCGCCACAGACGCATTGTGTTAATCTGGTTAATAAAGACGTTTGTCCAGGACCATCAGGGCGGTGGTTTAACCACCGTGGTTAAGCCATAAATCCGCCCTAGTTGAAAGAAGAAGAAGACACAATTTCTTGTTTAATTTGTGCGAAGCGGTTTAAGTGCAATAATAATACGATTTATAGTTTTATAGATTTATGCTAGGTATTATACCTAGTATTATACCTAGTATTCTTGTCCATGATTTACTAATAGTATAGTAAATTACTATAATAGTAATTTACTATACTATTAGTCAATCATGGACAAGAATACTCCACATACACCTACAAAACGTAATTTCGGTAGTGAAACGGGTCAAATATTTGATAGTGAATATGTTACACCAAAAAAATGTTTAAACCGCAAAAAGCAATAAAAAATAGGTTTTTAAATTTAAACAAAAATAAATTGTACTTTATTTTGATACTATGTACTTTTTTTTTCTTACCTATAATAACCAATGTACTTTAACTGCAAAAAAAAAGGTGGCAACCCTACTCACAACACTCATTTATAAAATCTAAATTTTGTGTCGTTCCTGCTTGATTTGGTTTATTTACTCTTGCGCATTTTTCAATTTGGTTAAGTTGTTTATGGGTTGTCTACACTGAGAAAAATGAGGTTGTTAGTTTAACACTTACGAAAATGTTATTCTTATTTTTAATTTAAATTACGTTTTTGAACAAATAAAAATAAATCTTAATCAATCAAAGGTTGTTATACAAGAGTGCTTATATTAGAGATTTTTCATTAATTTACTGTCTGAACTGCATTAATTTGTACTTTTTTGTAGTAATAAAAATGTATTCAAAAACTGTACGAGTTTAATGTAAAGACTGTAGGTAGGTAACATTTCGAGACTTTTAAATAAACAATTATGCGCATTGGTCGTATTGAATGTGCAACAACTGCTCAATTATAATTAAAACTTGAAATAGTTTACTTTTCCCAGTGTACGGATCTTTTTGTTTTCTGAAGCCAGATGACATTTTTGGTAATAAAATTGCGAAGTTTGCGTATATAATTATTTAACGGCTACTTTATAGATTAGAATCGAATTGGTAGGGGAGACCGGGGCAGAACGATGTTTTATTTTATTGTCCTTTGTTATCATTTACTAGAAGGCCAACACGTCAGTTGGTAATGGTTTTAGTGTATTTTAGACTAAACGTGGTGAAATTGTGTTTAGATTTATAACTTTTCGATATATATATTAATATACAATTGTATAATATACAATGTATATACCCATTTTCAGCTTTATTTGAGGGTTGGATTTTATGCACTCAGTGCCAAAAGTGGGCTCACAATTCATGTGCGGGGATAAAGAGTGATGACGAAGATATATCTACAGAACTTGTCTGTGAATTGTGTAAGCCCGATAACCCCATTCTGCCTTGTAGCGGGTGGAATGGAGTAAAGGACACTTTTTTTTTAATACGATAATAAAAAAAACTGTTAAGCATTTATGTTATTTTTTTTTTATTTTGTTAGTTATATGACTCAGGTGTGACCTATATCTTACGTAAGCGTGACCTGACATGACGTCCTATTTACGTAATATTTACGTAATTGTGTTTACTGGGAAATACTTTTTTATTTTGTGTGTATGCGTATTTGCTCGCACTTCTGCCCAGTACTGGGCCCGTATTTTAAAATATGTTGAGCTCACAGTGAACTTACGAGTGGGAGTAAAATTCGCACGTGTAATTGTACTATGACCTTATAATGATATTTTGATTATCGTTTGAAAATACTCTCCAGCTGGAGATATCACTTTGTGGTTTTATAACCGTGATTACATACTGAGCGCCTAAAGTTAGTTCACGCTAGCGTGAACTAACTTTAGGCGCTCAGTATGTAATCACGGTTATAAAACCACAAAGTGATATCACGTTGCACTCACTTTGTGTAAACCGCACCTATGACAATCATGTGCATGCGTGAATGTCGTGCACCCATGACAATCATATGCTTGCATATTTACTCGCACGCATAAATATCACGCTGTGAGCAAAAAGTGAAATCACGATTGTTATCTTGGTTGCCATTACATATAGGTGACATATGTCATATGACATTATGTCACAGTGATATAACAAAAATAGTTCCTTAATACTACAGATATATAGTATTAAGGAACTATTTTTGTTATATCACTGTGACATAATTCTTTTGCTGGGTACTTACATGGCCATAACATCCATCTAAACTTTTTTCCACCTCAATTCGGAATCCCCCCTGTATAGACATCAACTATTTTTTTTTGTATATGATTTTTATACATAATGTCACCTGAGAATTATAGTGTTCTATCTGCATTATTTTTTTAAATTGAAGTTAGTCTTGTTTTAAGTCTAAGATGCATATTGTTCTATCTTGGTACAGTCATCTTAGTCAAAAAAAAGGGATCAACCTCGGAATCTAACGGAATAAGCTGAATTTTTGTGAAAACCTTTATTTTAGCATTATAAATGTTGTCTCAAAAGTCACATATGCCAACGTGTGAGCAGCTTTAGATATTCAAGGTCAAAGGTAACAAAAATCAGTTTTTTGAGAATATCTCGTTTTCTCTGCCTCGCAAAAATCAATTTTTTGAGAATATCTCCTTTTCTCTGTTCCTACCATATTTGCTTTTATTATAAAAGAAATAGAGAATAAGATTCTCTACAAATTTTGTTTAAAACATTTTTTTATACGTCGAACCCTTTTTGAGATAGAGGGCGCGCGCTCCACACTCTGCGCAGAGTGTGGAGCGCTCAGCCATACGTATTAAATTGTTATTTAAGTAATATTTAATAAATAATTAATTAAAAAAACGGTATAATAGACTGGGATTCATGATTTACCTTGCGCTAAAGGTAGGTATACGTATGGTTGAGCGCTCCACGTGGTGTACACTCTGTGCCCTCTATCTCAAAAACGGTTAGACGAATAAAAAAATGTTTTAACCAAAATTTGTAGAGAATTTTATTCTCTACAACTTGTATAATAAATGCAAATACGATAGGAGGCAGAGAAAAGGATATATTCTCAAAAAATTGATTTTTGCGACCTTGGACCTTGAATATCAAAGGCCTATCACACGTTGGCATGCATATATATGCCAACGTGTGATCGGCCTTGATATTCAAGGCCCAAGGTCATATGTGACCTTTGAGACAACATTTGCAATGCTAAAATTAAAGTTTGTACAAAAATTCAGCTTATTCCGTTAGATTCCGAGGTGAAATGCCTAGATGACTGGACTATCTATATATAATTGGGGTATACCCCAATTATATATGGTCAATTCTCATATAACTTGTTCCGATGCTGTATCCACTTATTTTTGTGAAAACTAATTCTCGCTCAAGGTTTTTTTTTAGTGTAATAAGCATGTAGCATTTCAAGGTAATCCCTGCTTAAAATACCCCATAGAGACCCTGTTCAAACCGATAGATATTTGTATCGGGATGTATGGTGTTTCTATAGGGTGTATCGGTTTGTATAGGACCCGTAGTTGAGATTTATGGTTGTTCTATAGGGATATCCACCATTGATTTATTTGCTATCGGTTTCAATGGGGAAAATACACATAAATGTAGAAATTAGTTTTTTCCCTATAGGACCCTATAGGTTTTAATAAAATTTTGTCAAATATTTTATGGTTGCTCTATAGGGATATCCCTATATATCCTTCATTAAGTTATTTTCTATCGGTCTCAATAGGGAAAATATAAAAGTTATAGTGTGCCTATAGGTAATTTCCTATACATTTTCTATCGGGCTGTATCCGGAAAAACCCATGGACAAATGCACATATAGAATCCGGTAGCGCCCGATAGATTATTTTATATAGGTCTCTATGGGGTATTTTAAGCAGGGATGGGAACTTAAATTATGACAACCCTAATCTATTAATTTTCCTAAAATGCAGGCTTTATGTTGCAAATGTCACATAAGTTACCGGTCACCAACTGCAATATCCTAACATCGATGAATATTTCAACAAAATGGCCGCGTTCAAACAACTAATGTTAGTGCTTGATTAACTAAAAATATACTTAAGATTGACGAAAAATTATTTTATCATCTATAAAAATTACAGTTTAAGGCTTGTTTTAAGTCTTAAAGATGCATATTGTTCTATCTATATATAATTGGGGTAGAAATTGTAAAGTTTAGGCCTTAAACTGTACAATTTCTACCAAAATCAGTAGATCTGTAGACTTACACAGGAATTAGTAAAAATGGCTTTATTGGAAGTTCCAGTGAAGCCAGATCTGGAACCCACAGAACGTTAAAATCACAATCATTGGGTAAAATACTTACTAGTAATTACACCATGTAACATGTATGTAGAATCTACATTGTAGAAAATATGTATAACATAAAAAAGGATGTATAATATCACAATCCACACAACATGTTGTGTGGATTGTGTATAATATAATAATGTATATTATATAATTATTGACTCCATAAACTTATAAAACAGATAAAATCCAAGTATTAGTTATGTTAGTTGCCTACCCACAATTTAATTTTCCTGCAAAACTTCGTAAAATGAAGTGTGTATTAAATACACTGTATTTGAACTACTTTGCAGCAGGAGTCAAGTAATCAAAATTTTTAGGTTAGGATTCATAAAATCAAATAAACAGAAATGAAACAATAAAAACATTACCAATGTAATATCTGATAAAATCACGAAAGCGAATAAAAAATGGAAGTGAACCCCCTGAGCATAATTTTAGTTAAATCCGACAGTAAAGGAGACCGATTATTATTTAGATACCCTTTTCAAACTCAAGAAAACAATGAACCATCCAGCACAAAACGGAAAAATCCTTACACCTTACCGATTGTGGAGGATTTGCTGCAATCGCTGTCGCAATCATCTTCGAACATGAACAAAGGTAATCTTGCAGGATTCACGGATGAAGTGCTCTCTTCGTTATTTGCTGTAAAGGCAGAACTTAGTAACAGAAAATTCGAGCTTAAAGTTAATGATGTCAGGTTTGTGGGACACCCTACTTTGTTACCATTAAGAAAGAAAAAAGAACAGCCTCAACAGGATGACTCAGGGATTATGTTGATTAACATTGTTTTTGCACTGCAGGCTTTGGCAAGCCATTCTGTTGGTGAGAAAGATATTTTTGATTGAGTTTATCAGAATCAGGCAAAAATAACACTTTTTAAACATCTTCTGTTTTCTAATGCCTTAGATTAAAATTATTATTTTAATAACCCAATTTAACAGATTAACAACAAATAATATAATATATACAGGGTGTTTCTTTTAACTTGAGACAGCTCAATATCTCGAGAAATACGCATTTCACGGAAAAATGTCTTAAATAAAAGGTTAATGTGACCAAAGGGGACATAATTTGGTGCTACCGCTAGCCACCCCCTACCCCTCGTTAAGGGTTAAACGGGGGGTAACTTTGGAAAGTCAAACGGGATGACCCGATTTTTTTCACAGTTTTTGGTAGCACATAAAAAAAATGAATAACTTTTATTTGAAACTTTTTTTAAATTTATCAACAGATGGCGCTGTAATTCAAAATTGAAGAAAAATGGGATTCCTTGAAAAATGTATTATTTGAAACGTTTGAAAAACAAAAATTAACATTAAATCAACAATAGTCAGCTCTGAAAACAATTTATAACAAATGTTCGAAATGTCGTCCTTCCATTTCGATACATTTTTGAATGCGGGTAATGAATTCTGGCACACAACGCGCCATTTGTTATAAATTGTTTTCAGAGCCGACTATTGTTGATTTAATGTTAATTTTTGTTTTTCAAACGTTTCAAATAATACATTTTACAAGGAAACCCATTTTTCTTAAATTTTGAATTACAGCGCCATCTGTTGGTAAATTAAAATAAGTTTCAAATAAAAGTTATTAATTTTTTTATGTACTACCAAAGTCTGTGAAAAAGTCGGGTCATCCCATTTGACTTTCCAAAGTTACCCCCCGTTTCACCCTTAAGGAGGGGTAGGGGGTGGCTAGCGGTAGCACCAAATAATGTCCCCTTTGGTCACATTAACCTTTTATTTAAGACATTTTTCCGTGAAACGCGTATTTCTCGAGATATTGAGCTGTCTCAAGTTAAAAGAAACACCCTGTATACAGATGATACTTAAAATTGTATGTATTAAACATTTATTTTTAATGCAGTGTAATAATTAATACCTATTATTTAAATTATTATTAACACATAAAATTCAATAATCTTGATGCTTTTTGGGATTTTTTTTTTTTATTTTTAGAAACTTCTTAAATTTATTATTATTATTATTAAGGATTGTACTAGTTTTTTTTCCTATTTTAGTGAAATGTTATCATGATTTGAGTAAAAGAATGGGCATAGCTCTCAAACATGAAGAAAAACGATGTGGCTACATTTCCGATCAAACTCAAACCATGACAAGTGCTCACGACGATGGCTACACAAGCCCAGGTTCTGCATTCCAAATAATCTTAGAAAAGTGCACTTTAGCTATGAATATCAAGAAAATGTACGACGATCTTTGTTCAACCGGACTTGTGAGCATAAGGATCAACAAATGGATACCGCTGAGTTTTTGTTTGCCGCAAAAAGTGCATCAGTGGCATTTGAGGGGAAAGATAGTTGAGCCTGAAGACATAGACAAGTGTTTGAAGGCGTTAAGGCCTTATCACAGTTTGTTGTTGCTGTATCCAGCTCAACATATGAATGATTTTACCTCACTGGATGGTTCTCCGTCACTTATAAGGTTGTTATCGAACTATTCGCCGCTAAAAAATTTACAAACTTTAGCGGCTGATGCGGAATTAACTTTGGCCCATGTAAGTAAAAACATATTTGAGTCGTGTAGAATCAAAAGGGGACAAGTCACATTTATGGGAAAATAAAACTAAAATATACCGTACATTTATATTACAATGGTTGAGATGCTATAGATAGGGGCAACTAAATTATGCGTTTGAAAACTCCAAATTATGCGCAGGAATTGCGCCATTTTATGCGGCAATTATGCGGGCAAAATTGGGAAAATATGCGCCAATTATGCGGGCAAAAATAAGGAATTATGCGAAATTATTCGGGCAGAAATCAAGAAATAAGCGAAAATTATGTGTACTTTATAGATTTGGAAGGAAATAGTGAGTTAAGAATGCATCATTTTCATTTTTAAAAAAATCTGAATAGGGAACTGCAGGTCACACCTTAAAAAAACAAGTGAGTGATAGTTAAACGAAGTAGTATTTTATTTTCCATAAAGTATTTTGTAAAAGAGCTAGTCAAATTGTTAAAAGTCAACATATGTTACATACATAACATAGATAAGTTATCTAAGATAACAATTACAACATTAGTAATGTTACATTACAGTCACAATAGACTATTCACCACACTCACATCACATTGTCAGTTAAGTCAAGCATTGAATCATCCCTATCTTAGATAGTAGATAAGTTATCTACTACATCTCCATCACAATTAAAGTGCTCCATTTCCAACTTGCTGCCAAAATACACGCACAGTCCTCCTGGAGGAAAATATGTCTCCATAAGCACTAAATCCTCTCCCAGTGTCCACATTTGAAACAGACACATGTAACACTTGGACACAGGGTATCACAAAATTTACATATTCCCTAATCATAGAAATTAATGCACAAAGCACCAGATCCTCTTTCTCACCTTTTTTAGATTTATCTTTAGAATTTTCTTTGACTGCATCTCCCAAAATAGAGGGTAACACTACAAAATTTGATGATAGGATGGAAGACAATAGACTTATTTTTTCTTTTGCTGCAATAACACTTTCTGCTGAAAGAGGAGCAGTCAACTTACAGGAGTCAATCAAAAAACGAGAGGACTCAAAGAAGTCCTTCGCAGTATCCTCCTGCAACATTTTTTTCAGTAAGTCACAGCAGGAGGTGCAAACATCTCTTTGCAGCAATTCTGTTTCTTCCCAGGAACGTCATTAAGACTAGTTTGGGTTTTTTCGAAACTCCGGCGTGGCGAGATTAATGTACTGTGCATTAAAAGTGATTTTGGCCGAATGGAAACCAGAAAACGCGTAAATTATGCGACAATATGTGATATTATGCGCATAATATGCGGAAATGCAATATGCGGTGACCAACATCGAATTATGCGAAATTATGCGGACTGGAAATGATGCATACTGGACTCATAACATACCAAAGTGTTCAAAAATTGGTAATATCTGCACTTTTGAAAAAATATGCGATTATGCGTCCGCATAATATGGTTGCCCCTAGCTATAGAAGAAGAATATTCACATATGTGAATATTCTTTTTCTATAGCATCTCAACCATTGTAATTTGAATGCACAATCTGCATATTCTATGTTAAAAAAGGCAAGAAAATCATCTTTGGGTTCAGAACCGTACATATCCCGAGTGCTTTAATATCAAATTGTCCATTTCAACCAATAAGATTGGCTTTATTACCATTTAAAATTTTACGATTCCTACACAGCAAACGGAAAAATATAGAAGTGTATTGGATGACGCCACGTTTGAATACAATTTTCTAAACCCTCTCCACGTAATAGAGTTGTTTTCGTCAGTCGAGCGTTTCAATATTCTCCACAGTATAGAGGTCTTAATTTGACTTTTGAACTAGTATTAATATGAAAATTATTTTATGCTTGAAAAAAAAACTATACACGACATGATTGTGATTTTTTTCATTTTATTAATTAAGCTTTGTTGAATATTTTTCCTAAAGGAATAATTGCCTATAGGCCATTAATTCATTTGTTCGTAGATGCTACAATAACCTGCACTGGTGTGTACTCTTTGATCAACCAGCAGTGCCGGCGTGAGGCATGTGCAAACGGTGCGGTTGCACTCGGCCCCGCGTTTTATAGGCCCCGCGCGCATCAAGGCGTCTTAACGAAATTATTGTACATTATAGCAACATGGCAAGCTGTAAGCACAGCGTGACAAAATAATATCTGGTCATTGCAAGAGATAATATCTTTAGTAAGTATCGTCATCTATTATCATTCAGTTCAACGTTGCTAAATGTGTATTTGAAGTTGCCTGTATCCGTTATTATTACGCCGTGAAAAGAGTTTTTCAAAATTAAAATTAATAAATAAATATTTAAGATCAACAAGGTATGTGCCAAGAACGACTAGTGGGTTTGGCTACATTGTCATTAGAGGATGTTGGAAAAGAGCTTTCGCTAAAGCAAGGAAAAATTATGTGTGATTTTTTCTTAAACGTTAATTTCTATATTAATTGAAGGGAAAAGCTGAACCACCCAAGTGCATTTTTAAGTCAAAATTTTCTACTATCTGGTAACACGCTTAAAAAATTTTGACTTAAAAATGCGGTTTTAGCTCCAATCCCTTTAATTGGTTTTTGTTTGATGTTTTATTGGTTTATTAATTTTCAAGAGTAAATTCTTAGTTCAAGCCCCGCATTTTTCTTTTGCACCTGGCCTCTAATAAACTAACGCCGGCCCTGTTAACCAGATTTAAATATTGCTGAACTAACATAAAACTACCAGTGGAGATGTTCAGGGTCTACCAACAGACCTCATTACTAAATTATTATTATTATTTAATAGCATATCCATCATATATTACACCTACTTTACATCACATCCTCTGTGCTTTACATACCTGAGTTGTTATGGTAAATAAAAATCAGACAAAGGAACCAAAGACAGGAACTATTTTCAACAATCATATGCAGAAATGAGAATATTCAAACTACTTGCATCCATCAAAAGATCAAAACTTCTTGCAATATTGAATTACACCCTCTTTTTATACTCTCAGAAATATTGACTAGAAAAGTATTAGAGACTCCAGTTTCTATAGAAACTGGAGTCTCTTATATATAACAGTTATTACTGGCAATGATTTTCGTTAATGTCCCCGAGAATTATACAAAAACAGCGCAATGCTGGTAGAGTAAAGAGAAGTCGAAACCGTTGCGATATTGCATTGCGCTGTTTTTGTATAATTCTCGGGGACATTAACGAAAATCATTGCCAGTAAAATTCGAAAAGCTTGAGTTTCTATGTCTCTGAAAATAATAGGAATCCGACTGGGTCGAGTTTCTACCTCTCTGTTGAATATAGAAAATCAAAATATTGTAAGACACCATTAAGTTTGACTTAAATATAGTCGTGCATAGGTATAGAGCCGAAAAATATAAAAACAAAGCACGATCCATGGATATTGCAATACAGTTCTATGTATATTTTTCCGTTTGCTTTGCGATCACCAGCTGGAAAGCGGAGTTTACGCCAAAGCACTCCGTTTCTTAGAAAAAGTGCTACGGATTGCACTGGAAATGTAGTTCGGACCAAAGCACCCTGTTTCTCGACAGTTCTTGTTAACATGACGTGACTTGTTATTCGAATTCGCGCGTTTTCTTGTATTGTATTAAAGTTTATACATTAGACTTGGCCAAAAAATCGACTTTTTTTTGTAAAGTATATCGAAAATATTGTTTAGGGTGACAAAAAAAATTATGGTGAAAGTTTGAGTCCATAATATTAATATTAAGAGGTCTATCATCGCAATTTTAGATTTTTTTTTCCTGAGCGAGTTTTTATCTCAGAACTCCCAAACCATTGAGTTTAACTAAATTGACCTAAGAATATTTTTTAATGCTCTACAAAAAAGGTTTGATTGGAATTTCCCGTCAGATGAACCGTTTTCTTACAATCATGCTTTAAAAATTGGTATAGTTTTACAATTTGATTTTTTAACTTTGGAATTTTGTAATTCATGTAAAATTCAGTACCCAGAAAAAAACCGATGAATATTCTTATGGGAAATCAAATGCTTTACAAAAAAAGTCTTCTAACATTTTTGGCTAAATTCACTCCATCAAAAGTTATTCAAGGTTAAATTTGACAAGAATTTCGTTTTGACTTCAACTTTAACCTTGAATAACTTTTGATTGAGTGAATTTAGCCAAAAATGTTAAGAGGCTTTTTTGTAAAGCATTTGAAGAATATTTATCGGTTTTTTTATGGGTACTGATTTTTACATGAATTTCAAAATTCCAAAGTTAAAAGATCAAAATGTAAAACTATACCAATGTTTAGGGCATGATTTTAAGGAAACGGTTCATCTGACGAAAAATTTCATTTAACATTTTTTGTAGAGCATTTCATTTTCTTAAAAAATATTCCTAAGTCAATTTTGTTAAACTCAATGGTTTGGGAGTTCTGAGACAAAAACTTGATGAGGGAAAAAAATTAAAATTGCGATGATAGACCTTTTAATATTAATATTTTGGACTCAAACTTTCACAATATTTTTTTTTTGTCGCCCCAAACCATATTTTCGATATACTTTTCAAAAAAAAAAAATAGTTGATTTTTTTTGCCCAGTCTTATACTACCCGGACAACATTCGTGATATTCATACGAACATCACGTCGTGATTTTCACAAATTTTATTCATACTGATATCATATGGAAGTCACCGCGTGATAAATAAAAATCATACGAACGTCACGTCGTGATTTTAACAAATTTTATTCATCCGGATGTCACTGCGTGAGAAATAAAAATCATGTCGTGATTTTTTATGCCATCGCTGTTTGCGATTGACCGATGGCACAAAAAATCATGTCGTGATTTTTTATGCCAACGGTGTTTGGATAATCATTTTTGCGCTACGTTCGTACACTAAGAGAAAAATTATGTTGAATCAACAGTTTTTGCGGTTAAATACATTTAATATTTTCTTGAATTTAAATTAACTATATATAGTTAATTTAAATCCAAGAAAATATTGAATGTTAAACTGTTAATTCAATTGTTAACATACTTTTTCTTTCAATGTACGAATGTGTCGCAAAAATGAATATCCAAACACCGATGGCATAAAAAATCATGTCGTGATTTTTTATCACCAAACACCGATGGCATAAAAAATCATGTCGTGATTTTTTATGCCATCGGTGTTTGGATATTTATTTTTGCGCCACATTCGTACGTTGAGAGAAAAAGTATACCTACATATATATTGAATCAACAGTTTTTGTGGTTAAATAAAAACATTCAATATATTTTTGGATTTAAATTAATAGTTAATTTACATTCAAAAAAATATTGAATGTATTTAACCGCAAAAGCTGTTAATTCAATTGTTAACATACATTTTCTCACAATGTACGAATGTGGCGCAAAAATAAATATCCAAACATGTCCGATGACATAAAAAATCATGTCGTGATTTTTTATGCCCAAACACCGATAGCATAAAAAATCATGTCGTGATTTTTTATGCCATCGGTGTTTGAATATTTATTTTTGCGCCACATTCGTACGTTGAGAGATATATATTGAATCAAGAGTTTTTGTGGTTAAATAAAAACATTCAATATTTTTTTAGATTTAAATTAATAGTTAATTTACATTCAAGAAAATATTGAATGTATTTAACCGCAAAAACTGTTGATTCAACATAACTTTTCTTTTAGTGTACGAACGTGGCGCAAAAATGATAATCAAAACACCGTTGGCATAAAAAATCACGACATGATGTTCGTATGAATATCACGAATGTTGTCCTTTTTTAATTGAATTCAATTAAAAAAGGAGAACATTCGTGATATTCATACGAACATCATGTCGTGATTTTTGACCGATAGCATAAAAAATCATGTCGTGATTTTTTATGATAACGGTGTTTTGATTATCATTTTTGCGCCACGTTCGTGCACTAAAAGAACAGTTATGTTGAATCAACAGGTAACAAACTAGGTTTTAAATTCGCAGTTCGCAGGGCTATTACGCATGCGCAAATTTTGCAAATATCACACCGTGAGTTCTACATGATATCACTGTGATGAAGCATGTGTATGCACTCAGGATATCACGGCGTGATAAAAAAAATCACGTTGTGATATCATCATGATTTCACCAGGAAATCCCGATTGTTGTCCGGGTATATATACCTACATGTATTTATCTAATCATGTTCACTGAGTGGACGTCACTCTACGTATACCTACCTTTAACTTTTGTTTTAAAACCGGACAAATCCAGGTTTTTGTTGCAAATTAAGATTAATAAGTCTTTAATATTTTCTCGATACACACCCAGCTAACAAAGTGGTGTTCAAGTTGATATCAATGCGAGCTCAAGACTTGATTTTATACATCAAGCTTTGAGGTCAAAAACATATCAAGTTGGTTCCTCATTTGGGCTCAATGTGATATCAAACCTTGATTTTCGATTAAATTCGAATCGGATGCGCGCATGCGCTGCCTACTTTTGGCGGATTAATTCAAATATTTGAAAAAAATGAAGTTATGGGTTTTGAAAGGAAAAAATACTGTTTATTTGATGCAAACATATCTAAATAATTACCAACTTAAATGCTAGCATTTAAATTGATAATTTTTTTAAATTTGGATATTTTTGCATCAAATAAACAGTCCTTTTCCCTTTCAAAACCCATAATTATATATAGTTATTTAGGTTTTCTTGCATAAAATAAAATAGGCAATTAAAACACAACCAAAATTTATAAACAAAATATTAAAATATACAAAAAAACAATTTTTAAATTTGCTCCTTTTCAAGAGTATCCTTATTGACTCTGTATACAAAACTATAGTTTTGAGGATTATCATTTGTTGCTTCACTTTCTGGTGTTTTCTGGTGTTTTTTTAATTTGTTTGCCTCACGTTGTCTGTTGATTCTTAATGCTTCTTGAATGTCTGGCAAAAAATGATGAAAACATTGACTTACACAATAGATTACGTGAAATAATTTTGTATCCTTTTATTATTATTTCCCAGAAAGGTGAACTCCATTGTCAAAATATCAGTTATCGCTTCTTTAAGAGCTGTAATTTGTATCAATAAAGGCCCTTTTATTATTATTTCCTAGAAAGGTGAACTCCATTGTCAAAATATCAGTTATTGTTTCTTTAAGAGCCATATTTGCACCAAGATTTTTAGGTAAATGAACTGCAATAAAATTTTATCTTTAATATAAACACTGGCACACATTCAACATATCGTCACCCTAATATAACAAGGTTGTATGTTAAAAAACCGAAAAATTTGAGTTTATGCTTCTACAAGGTTTTATGTAATCCACCCTTGACATACAACTTAAGTGGTATGTGAAGCGTAGGCCAAGTATAATCCTGTAGACACATAGACTTAAATTTTTCGTTTTTTTTAACATACAACCTTGTTATATTAGGTTGACGATATTTCAACCCACCAGACTTTTTCTTTCATTAAGTGTTTCACTGGACTTGAACTGGTTAAATTCTGCCCAATTTTTCAATGGAAATCCCTTCAACTGTTGGATGCTGGAAATGTTTGCGTCAAAACTGGTCCCCTCATACAAAGCATCAATTCTGTTTGACAAAGCTTTGAAGAATTTCCCTAAGAGAAATAATTCAGGTTAAGTTTTAGAATAGCTGCATTTTCAACAGTATTTATAGTATATATTTACCTTTGATTTGGCAGAACTTCAGCAAGCTCTTGAAGTATTCTGCTTTCCTCTACAGTTTAAGCAGATAACCTAAAAACAAATAAAGGAAATTAAAAATATATTTTTATATATAATAGTAAGAGATAATGCAGCCTATTACCCACGAGTTAATAATGCGCATTATCTCGAGTGTAATACTATGCTTTATCTACTCCAATTATGTAAATTTCATTAATAACAAACTTTATTATAACCTCACTTTCTCCTGATTTTGTTGTATTTATTTACAATGTTTTCCTTAAGAAAACAGTAACTAACGGATTTTAAGTTTACTTACCAATTTATTTTTAATATTAACTTTCACGACACAAGAATAATTTGCAACTTGATGCACGAAAAAATCTCTGAATAAAGCCGGTAAAGTAGCCCGCGATTCGCAGAAAGCTTGCAATTGCAATTAATGGCGGGCTTTGTAATTGTTTAAAAATATAATATTAATAATAATATTTATTATTATTAAAATTATATTTTTAATAATTATTATTATTAAAATTATATTTTAAACCATTGCAAAAGCCTGCCATTATTTGATATGGATTTACAATACTAACAGAAGTATACCCATAAGGTTTTTTTTATCCATCCTATACATATATGTATATAAATTTATGACTACAAACCTTGGACCGACTTTTTGAGGTTAACTCAAAACTTGAGCTCACATTGATTTCAACTCTTGAGGTAAAATCAATGTAAGCTCAAGCATTGATTTAACCTCAAAAATTAAAATCAATGTGAGCTCAACCATTGATTTAACCTCAAAAATTTAAATCAATGTGAGCTCAAGACAACATCAAAACTTGATAAATCAAGGTTTGAGTTTTGTTTGAACTCAAGCAATGTTAGCTGGGTGTTTAAAAATATAATATTAATAATAATATTTATTATTATTAAAATTATATTTTTAATAAATATTATATTATTTAAAAATTGAATCCTTGTTGGTTCAATTATTATATTTTTAATAATTATTATTATTAAAATTATATTTTAAACCATTGCAAAAGCCTGCCATTATTTGATATGGATTTACAATACTAACAGAAGTATACCCATAAGGTTTTTTTTATCCATCCTATACATATATGTATATAAATTTATGACTACAAACCTTGGACCGACTTTTTGAGGTTAACTCAAAACTTGAGCTCACATTGATTTCAACTCTTGAGGTAAAATCAATGTAAGCTCAAGCATTGATTTAACCTCAAAAATTAAAATCAATGTGAGCTCAACCATTGATTTAACCTCAAAAATTTAAATCAATGTGAGCTCAAGACAACATCAAAACTTGATAAATCAAGGTTTGAGTTTTGTTTGAACTCAAGCAATGTTAGCTGGGCAGGCCGAAAACTTGACAAAATTTGGATTTCGGAGGGGGGTTTACAACTGCATTGCATTGCTTTAGCTTTCGGCGAAAAAACAATTCAAAATTAAATTATATAAAATCTAACGTTAATGGGATCAAAAAAGGTAATCTTTAATAAATTTTAGGTGTTTGAGTTGACGGCTCACCTGGTGTACTGGGCCAAAGCCACAATAATTTTCCCGATTTGTTCGACAAATAAATACGTCATATCTCCCACTGCGCCTATACACTTGAACTCGCCCTTGGTGGAAAAATTTAACGAAACCTTTTCCGGTCTGAATCTTGCCCGGGTGATTAGCGATTTTTCCTTGCCTACGTCGCTGGGACAACGGTGCAATCCTTTGTGTCACCCGTCGCAACAATCTCAGCTGGTGCAGACCATCATTTGGATGTTGCAGCACCATTTGCTGCTACAGCTGCACACTTATATACAGTATTTGCCGACGGAAAATGGCTTACACAAGTAAGAAAAAGGAAAGAGTTTTGGATGTTTTTTTTACATCGTTAGTTTTTTAGAGATTATAAAAAGAAGCAGTTAAAGTCACCGTCACCTAGAAATAGTGTTATATTATCTAATCAACCTTCAGCTTCAGAACATTCCAGGGCAGAATCTGAGAGTGGCGCCAGTACCATTTCGGAAACGCCTGAGTTTACGTTAAAAAATTTTAAGTTAGTTTTTTATTTTTATTCCTTTATTTCTTTTTTATTTAATACTGTACAATTTTAGTAGTGAACACTTAAGCTTCATATCTACTGATGATGACAAACAAGACTACCAAGAAGAATTACTTCTGGACTTTTCTGATGAGGAAAGATCATCTGTTTTTAAAGTAACTTAAGTTATAATTATACAATTATAGTTATAATTATACAATTATAATTTTAAAAAAATATATTTAAACCCTGCACCATATACAATATTTTTTTAGATTCCAGCAACAAACAACCCTGAAGACTTACAACTTTTTGCAAAACTTTGCCGGAAAGAATATTTCCAAGGAAATCACCACATAGAAGAAATCATGTACCTGGAAAATTTAAGACGAAGTCAATTATTACAGCTGTTGGACAAGTTCAGAGATGTTCTTATTACCTATGAAACAGAAGATCCTGCAATCGCCATGTTTTCTTGTTCTTCAACCTAGTACCTAATCGTTTTCTATTACAATAATTGTGTTAAAATATATTTTATAATTGCTTAATTTATTGTTGTAACACCCAAATAGGGATCATTTTATAATAAATTATTGTTAAAATATAAGCTTTTATCCTATATATATATCGTCGCCTTCAGGAGAAAATTGCTTAACTCCATGTTGTAAAATTTTACAGGAGGAAAGAAAAACATATTAAAGGTGTATTGGTGTATCTCCACATTACCGCCAAAAAATTGTTTAATGGAAAATTACGTATCTCCAATATGTACTTTATGTTAATAAAAGTAACCTTAAATTATTCATGGTACCTTAACTTTACACACTATACAATCTTTCATACTTACATACAGAAAAAATAACTAGGCAATAACTTATACTTGTCAATGGCACTGATTTGTATATTGGAGTTAGGCATTATTCCCTGGACGCTCCTCCACGATTGGAGATACGTATATTTATTTTTCTAAATTTAAAATTAACGGTTTATTTTAGGACATCTGTAACTTGCATATAAATTAGTTACAGTTTTATCTAACAGATGCCACTAAAATACCATTTTAATGAAAATGTGGAGTTACGTGATTTTCTCCTGAAGGCGACGATATATATATATATATATATATATATATATATATATATATCGATGCCTGTTAAGTTGTCACTTCCGTAGTATATACAAGGCGTCCTAACTTCCACATGAACGAAGGCTTATACAAGCATTTTAAAACTATATATAAGTGAAGGGGAACCTACGTAATCCGAATCTCTAGAGAGGGGAAAGGATTTCGCAAATAAATATTTGTGTACTATGGCCGTGACTTAGTCACTTCCATCATATATAGAGACAATTGCATCGTAGACACTTCCGACAGGGTTGCCAGATTTTCGAGTCTAAAAATAGATTTAGTCTAGTTATCTCTCTCCGTTGCTCATGCGGACCTTTTTTAATTCGAAACGCTTAAAGTAAATATTCTGTTATGTGCAACACTTAGTAACCACGATTCGTTCGCCAAGCGTAAGTACGGCACATTCGACGTTCGAAACTAGTTATTAAACTTGCATTGTTTAATAATATTATTATGTTAAATTATGTTTGGTAATGTTTTAATAATAATAATAATAATTTAATATTTTTTGAGTGGAGAGAATATTGCGTGTATTATTATTATATTATTTCCAAATTAAAATTATAATAATTATTATTTTAAGTGTAAGACATCCAAATTTAATATTTTTATTTTGTTTTTGTTATTTTATGTGTTGGGTTATAATCTCAAACTGCGCTGTGGCTAAATGTATAAACTGTAATAAATCTACAAAAGGTACTAAAAAATAAAATGTCAAAATTTACGAATTTAAAAAAATAGTACCTACTTACATACGTATTTTTTAATATAATTTTTTCTCTCGTCATAAAAATGTTAAAATTAATATTTTTATAGAATTAATAAGGGTGTTTATCAAAGTGGACAACATAATAAAGTTTGTAGAACTTATAAGAAATAATTATCGAGTCCGACACTTTTTTAAATAAATATTTTTCATTGGAGCTGTTATTTTCGTCGGTTGATAAATTTTTTTAAATGTTTAACACAAAAATTGTAGGTAGAAATTAAAATTACAATTTTTTTTTAAATCTGCATATAATTAACTTTAATAAAAAGGTTTATTTAAAAACAAAGTTCGATAATTCAAAAACAAAAGCTCAAATTAAAAATATTTATTTGAGAAAAGTGGTAGTCTCGATGAGATCTCTATAATAATAATAATAATATTTATTTCCACAGAATATAACAATACAGCATATTATTACATTTTAGGGGTCGTCACATTAAGATATACATACATGAAATAAATAAATAGTAAATAACAAATCATATATAAGACAAACAATATAACAATTATTTCATAAATATAAAAATGTTTTTAATATGTTAACTATCGGAGAAAAAATCTTCGAGACTATAGTAGCATTTGTCGATAAGAATTTGTTTTAGTTTAAATTTTAAGTTATTTAAGTTGGCTTGTTGAAGACATTCGTATTTTTTTAAAAGATGATTGGTGACTTTAATACCTAAAGATCTTGGATTTTTTTGGCAAGTGCTAAGTCTATCAAATGGTTGCTGCAGATTATTGCGTTGCCTAGTTTCGTAGTTATGGAATTCGTGTCTTTTTGTGTTTATATTATTTTCTTTAATGAAAACAACCAGTGAGTATATGTACAGGCTAGCAAGAGTCATAATTTTTAATTTCTTAAAAATAGGTTTGCAAGAGGTACTTTTTGAGACCCCCTCTATGCACCGTATAGCCTTTTTTTGTAAAACTTTGTCTATTTCACTGGATGATCCCCAGTAGAGCAAACCATATGATATAACTGATTGTATAAGACCAAAATACAATAGTTTTAGTACATCAAGTGACACTGTACCTTTTAGATTAAATAACAGGTAACAATGGCTGCTAAGTTTAGATACTAAGGATCCAATATGCTTTGACCAAGTAAGTTTAGAGTCTAGCTCTAGACCAAGAAATTTTGTGCTGGATACATTTTTAATCGAGCTGTTGTTAACTCGTAATAATAGTGAGTAGTCAATACTTTGATTTTTTGTAAAAAACTGCATGGCAACTGTTTTTGACGAGTTGAGTTGGATGCCATTTTCAAGACACCACTGTGTCATATTTGTTATCACATGTTGTGCCTTAAAGATAGCATCACCTATATTTGTATCTGAAATCACTGCATTGGTATCGTCTGCGTATAGGACGGCAGTTGCGTTATTGTCTATTTTTGGAATAAGATCGTTAATAAAGCAGTTAAACAAAGTAGGCGATATACAAGATCCCTGAGGTGTGCCCCTTGTGATTTTTTGGGTTTTCGATCGAAAACCCTCAATCACCACTTGCTGGGTTCTACAGCTTAAGTATGATTTAATCCAGTCTAGTGCTGGACCACGTACACCCATTTTAAACATTTTTTCAATGAGCAAATGGTGATCGACGGTGTCAAAGGCCTTACTCATATCAAAAAATATACCAAGTGTTCGGGTTTTGTTATTAAGAGATTTATAAATACTATCGAGAGCCTGGTCTAAAGCAGTATAGGTAGATCGCTTTGGTCTAAAACCATTTTGATTTGGAAAAATTAGGGAATGCTTCTCCAGATATTCCAAAAGCCTCGAGTTATAGCAACTTTCAAAAATTTTCGAAAAGTGGCACTGCAGGGCAATCGGTCTATAGTTGTCAGGGTCATTGGCATCGCCCTTCTTTTTGTATATAGGTACAACTTTTGAGGTCTTTAGAACATCTGGAAAAGAGCCTTCAGTAAAGCTTTTATTAATAATTTTTGCTAGGGGTTGTGATAAATGAATACCTACCAATATTATAATTTTTCCAGGAATTTCGTCTATTCCCGATGATGTTTTGTTACACACCTTATTAATTATTTTTTGTATTTCCATAGGTGTTGCAGGGTTTAAATAAATTGAGTTTATTTGGTTTTTAATACCAGTAGTTTTTGGTCCATTTGGTTTGTAATTATTAAGAGTACTTGTAAAGAAGTTATTAAAACAATTACAAATTTCGTGTTTATCTATTAATTTTTTACCATCTACATTTGTTATTGTTTCTATTTTATTTTTAATTGAGTGTTTATTTTTATTGCTTTCTTGTATTATTTTCCAGCTCTCCTTGTTTATATTTTTTGCGTTATAAATTCTTTGATTATTATATGTTTTTTTTAAAAGCAATAGTTTTTTGTTGTAAAATGTTTTTAATTCTTTATATTTTTTATCATATATGTTATTATTAATTTGTTTATTAATACAATGCATTTCTTTCAGTAATTTTGAAACATTTTTTAATTCTGGTGTGTACCATTTATTCGTTGTTTTGATATTTGTTTTTTGTTTTTTTAATGTTAGGGGAAAGCACGCATTAAAAATTTCTAAAAATTTAAAATAGAAACTATTAAAATATGTGTTTAAATCGTCGTTTTCATTTAAAACTAAATCCCAATTTATTTTACTAATTGAGTCAAAAAATATATTTTGTTTAGCATAATTTGTAAAATTTCGATGAAGAGTACTGGTTTGTTCAGGAGAGTTTTCGTGTTGTATATTTATTTTTATTAATTGAAAGGTATGATCTGATAAAGAAGATTCATGAACTGTTGTAGATTGATATGGGATATCTATAAAAATATTATCAATACAGGTAGCGGAATATTTTGATATTCTTGTTGGTTTAAATATGGTTGGTTTAAGATTATATTCGAGCAGTAAATTTTTTAATGTTTGTGATTGTTTGCAGTTACCAAGAAAATCTATATTAAAGTCACCACAAATAATATTAATGTTATCTTTGTTAAAATTGTTAATTAAATACTTTTCCAATTTATCAATGTATAAGTCAAAGTTTGCACATGGTGATCTATATATACAAGTAACACAAATATTATTGTAATAGTTTGGTATTGAAAATATGGCTGAACAAATTTCAAAGGTTTTTTCTTCGGAGTGAAGCTGAGTAGCTTTTTGAGTTATACAGTTTTTGTGTGAGAGAATACAAACACCGCCATTTTTAAAGTTTTTTCGGCTAAAGTGTGTAACTACACTGTAATCGCCAATTTTTAATGAGTCGATAACTTCACGCTGATGATGCTCTGTCAAACAGAGTAAGTCTACTTTGTTTTCTTGGAGAATTGTTTCCAGTTGTCCAGTTTTATTGGAGAGGCCCTGTATGTTAAAATTCATGACGCAGAGCTGCTGGTTAATGTTTTGGCTAAAAAAGGTCTTGAGTTGCTAGATTTTGGAAAGAAATACCTGTTTATTAGGGTGCCTTCAGGCCATATTTTTCCATCTAGAATGTTGTCTTTGTATTGATAAGGGGCACATATTTTAAAGGAACTTTTTTTACTGTTGTTATGATTTTGAGGAAGTTTTTCACATTGGGTTTTGCAGATTGAAGCTAAGTAGTCTTCTATTTGTTTCTC